CCCCCCATCTTTCTCCCTATTTGCAGTTGTGTCCATCCTTCTCTATAAAAAGGGTCCTAGGGGCCCTATAGAAGGGGTTGGTCAATTCACCCAGTTCACAAGGCTAAGGTTTTTTGAGGAGTTCAAGGGTTGTAGAAGGAAAGGATGCCCAATTCTTGTCAAGAGGGGTTCCTGCAAGCTGTTCAACCATTCTGCAACTACTGCCACTGGATCTGATCAACCATTCTTTTCTTTTCTTAATTTTCTTTTCTGTTATTTTTATTTCTGCAATCTTTTAGATTTAATTCTTGTTCGTTTCTCTATTTTGCAGATCTGAATTCATTCGGTTCAAGGCTAAGGTATCTCGAGGGGTTCGAGGGTTGTAGAAAGGATGGATGCCCGGTTCTTGTCAGGAGGGTTTCTTGCAAGCTGTTTGGCCGATTTGCAGTTACCGCCACCGGATCCGGATTCTGGATCGTTTATTTATTTATTTCTTTTATTTTCTTTGTTGATTCCCATACTTTATTACATTCTGATTTTTATTTATTGTCTTGTTTAAATTCAAAACATTTAATTTCAGCAATACTAAATTTTATTTTCTTACTTTCTGCAATTCCCAATTGTATTCTATTTCCCGAACCTCAGTATGTAATGGTGTTTCCCTTGCTTCTATGTGGAAACGACCTGTTCTCACCCATTTACTACATTAGTAGTTGTTTGAAAAATGATAAAAGTTATAAATGTTTAAACTGGTGTTTCGGAGTGTTTAACGATGCGCTCCGGATAACACCAGAGCTAAAAGATCAGAATGTGTTTATTTTTTCTCTTGTTCGGTTGTTGTATTTTGTTATTTTTTTCTCAGATGAAATATCCTTTTTTACCGAAACAAGAAAACAAATACTACATACTCTTTTGTTTTTCATTGTTTGGTAGAATGACTCCATATTTCCTTTATTTAAAAGAATAATATTGAGACTCATACCATTATTTCATATCTCAAAAGCTTTCATGCCCCCCAAATGATGTAGTTCCATCGGTCACAACCTCCATAGGAACTTAATCACTAAAAGACAAACCAATAAGCTTCTTCAATTCAGCATGTTCAACTATTATCAAATAACCCCAAAGTTACCACATCCAAATAACTTCTTTATGGACTATGTAGCTAAAATTAAATGTCTAAAACAAACCAATGGAACTACAAAACAATTTCTTTTTTTATCAATAATGGAGTTACAAAGAGTAAACCAACCTTGATCATTTTAGACCACAATGAGAAAAAAAAACAAGGAAAAAATGTGTTAGAGAAAACATAAAATGAAAAAAAAAAAAATAAGTTTGGCACTTTGGATATATGATTACTTTTTTAATAAAGAAATTGTTAGCTTGGTCCTAGATAAGGTCAATTTTAGTTTGGGTTGGGTAATGTAAATCTAGAAAAAAATAACTTATCTTTCCTTCATTTGTTTTTCTAATAAATATAAATACATAGTTTTTATTTTCTTTTTTTTGTTCGAGGCTTACGCCTCAAAACACCTTGAGGCTTAGATGTCGTCCCTTTCACACCCAATACCGCCTCGCCTCCACTTTTAGCCTTTTAAAACCTTGGCTTTAGTATATACAAGAAACAAGATTCGTTTGATTGATGAGAAAGGATATTTATTCGACATTTGGTTATTGAGACTAAAATGTGAGAAAAATTGTTTTCCAGTATTTGATAGCTAAGAAAATTAAAATGAATACATGACGTTGTTCCATTTGATAAGCTAATATATTTTTAATATCCATGCCATCACGTTGACTTTTTATTAGTTGACACGGCATTTTTGATGTCCAATGTGGCATTTAATGTGTAAATAGCCCAAATCACAGAAGAGCCACGAACTTAAATATTGAATGCAAAATCATACTTCATCTATATTAATAGTTGTGTATGACTTTCTCCTCCCTAGAGGATTTTTCTCTAAGGATAACAGCATACCCTTATCTACCATTGAAGCATGACGTTTCACTATGAAATGAAATAATTGAAAACCAAATTCTTCCATCAAAACAAGTTTCTAATTCACAAGATAATCGGAAATCAAAACCATAATAGGAAAAAAGAAATTCAAAAAGATTGTAAAATGTTAAGTCATAGTTACAATTTAGTCATTCATTCCAAATATCATATTTTTATATGTTGAGAATTTGCTAGCTAGCCACAAACAAGAAGAGGAAATCTACTGCAACCATGGATGCAATGGAATCATGTGATTGGTTCTCCAATAAATTATGCTTGCAATTAATACAAAGGAAAATTGGACCTTTTGGCCCGGTGATGATTCTAGAAGAGTCTAGGGAAGACAAGCTTTCCAAATAAAATCAATGCATCACATCAACAGATTTTTTTTATTATTATTTCAAATGCTACAAAGGGATTTCAGATTGCTTCCCCACATATCCCACATGTGCCTGATGCATGTGCACTTGTGTAGATCTCAGCATGCATTGGAAACATTTTCTGTAATGGGGATGTGATGTGGGGCACGCTTTCTGGGGGAAACCATGCCAATCTATATCTATACTATTATTAAAAGTGTGAATAAGAATGTGTGAGACTTTTGTTTGTTGAATGTGATCCCTCTCAAAGTATAATAACCGAATTGTAATTTGAACAACCACTTTTCACCTCCATCAAATCCCTCTCATTATATCCTGTATTTAAGGTATTAACTTTCATTAAGACTTATTGAATCCTATTCTTTACTAGAATACCCCTATTTTTGAATTTGGTCCCTCTATAATTGTTAGGTCACAAAATGTAATTTAAACTACTACATTTCTCATCATTCAATTCCTCTCATTAAGTCTTATATTTAGGATATTAATTCCTATTTTTTTGAATCCTATATTAATTAACCATATTAAAAGAAATGTGTCATAAGGAACAATTGTTTTTATTGATGATAAAAATAAAATGCAAATTTAAAATCAACCCAAAATGGAGTAGAAATCTGCAAAAACAAAAAAGAGAAAGATGGAGAAAATAAGAGTTTTTGTTTTTCTTTTGAGAAGAGAGAAGAAGAAAAGAATGAGAGAGCAATCAGATCTTGCCGACCCATCTTATCGTTATTTATACTTTAAGTAAACATTATGTGCAAAAACTTGAAAACTCAATAAAAGACTTAAAAATACCACTGTAAAGAGTTCCCAACAGTTTGTTGTGATCCTCACTCCATAACTAAACAAATTAACCAACAAATCTGCATGAGATAACTAATAAATCTACACAAATTCCTTACAGAGTTGCTTTAGGTTTGGTTATGAGTACCCTTGAGGTCATCGTTAAATAATAATAACAAAAAATTAAAATACAAATACAAAATGCGTCAACCCTTGATGTCATCAAAAAGTAATTTAAACTACTACATTTTTCCTAATTCAATTTCTCTCATTAAGTCTTATATTTAGGATATTAAGCCCCATTTATTAATTGAATTCTATATTAATTAACCATATTAAAAAATAAGTATAATAAGCAACAATTGCTTTTTATTCATGATAAAAATGAACATGTTTGGTGGTAAGTCAACAAAATATTTCGACCGTTGATGTCATGGTTAAATAATAATAAAAAATTAAAAAGATGAAAATACATAAAAATATAAAAAATTTGTAAAAAACATTTGGGCACTTCTCTAATATTATATATTCATCATATTAAACAAAAATAAGTGTGATAAATAAGACTAATTTTTATAGACATAGAAATATAAAAAAATTGTAGAAAATTTTGGAAACATATCTTTTATTATCATCATTAGGGGTGCAACTTGGGTGGGTCTAATTGAGCTTGACCTGACTAACCCGAGCTTTTGCATGGGTGGGCCTGAGTTTGTAAGCTACGGTTTGGATTTAGGGTAGATTGATAGCTATGATTATAACCCTAGCAAGTGCACTAGTTATCAAGTAGTATAAAAATATCGTTCCTACGAGGATTTAACAAAATAATTGTTAGAACTACAACCTTCCCTAATTATTTGGACAATCGAATTTAAGAGTAAAAGCTACTGAAAAACAGAAAAAGAAGACAAGAGCAAGAGTACCAATACTGAAGTATGCAACGATTTACTGAATTCGCTAGGACCTTTGGTCCGCCTAACCATTCCAATGAATAGTAATAGATGAGATTATCCAAGATAATTTKTCATTCCCATAAGCTGAARTTTTTCCAATTTTATTMAATATTCTTTCTCAAGATATATCAAAACTACTTTTATCAGGTAATACATCGATCTCTCGACTAGAGTTCTCAAGATAGAAATGCATTAAGTTCAAAGAAAAACTATTACATTCAGATGAATCATGTGTATATACCCCTATATACCATTCAATTCACACCATGAATTATTTGGTCTGTTATATGAATTCCTCTCTCGATTCATTCACATAAACCTAATCAATTAAGAGATGGTCACTCCTAATAGCACTAAGCAAGATAACTCATAGACTATATGAAAATCACGATCTTGGAAAAATCAGAATAAAATTATATTCATTGTTATGATTAGGCTTTTCACAGCCCTAGCTACAAATAAATCAGTTCATACTAGAGGGAATAAAGCAAACAAGAGGAAAGAAAGAACTCATGGTGTCACCCTTAGAGCTGAGATTTCCCCTTCTCCTTGCCGCCATGTCCTTCTTGTAGTCTTCTTGCTTGATAGATTGGTTGCTCCTCTACTTCTTGATACCTCTCTAGTCCGCCCCCATCCCTTTATATAGCTGAAAGGGGAGGGGGTGGTCTCCAACTCCTTCTTGGAGTTTATCTTTCAAAAATAGAAAGTTCTACTCTAATCCTACTCTTATCTCTTTATCTAGCGAACTCAATCTCCTTATCTTTCTAGGATTACATCACAAATTTAAATCTGGTAGGACTCTTCTCAGTTTCTTGTTCTTGCATTCATATTAGACTTCCTCTGCGAATTGGCTGCTGCAAGGCTTTTTTTGCAAGTTGGGCTTCAGCTGTGAATTAGGCATTCCTACGAATTTTCCCCGACTTCAGGCCTGGATTTGATTTCGATGCAGGCCGAATCTGCGAAAGTCCAAAACATAAAAGTTGTAGCTTCCTCTCTTATCTTTCCAGTGAATCTTGAATCAGCCCAATCGGATCTCGGATACGAGAGTTAGGCCCAGATTACTGAACAGTGCCGAAATTGTGAAAAATCATCCGATTTGCCTTGCTTTTCTCTTATGCATTCTTTCATGCCCTGAACCGAAATACAAGAAATATGAGTCCAAATAAGTACTAATTCAGTATAAAATACTGAATATTTGGGGATAAAATATGATAAATTTTATTCTCATCATAGATAACTTGGGCCCAACCCAATCCAAGCCCACCCAAAAAATACATACATATGTGTGTTATTTTTATATAAAATATCTTAATTTTTTTTCTAATTATGTGTACGTGTGTATATGTATAAAATTGTAAATGTGCATTATTAATATTTTTTAATTGATTCTATTCTTAAATTGAGTCATAAGTCCCATTAAAAGACAAATACGTAAAAATTTATACATAAATTTTTTTCAAACTTAACCAATCTGCCCAAGCCTAACTAACCCGATGTAGCATAGCCCGAGCCCAAGCCTAACCATTTCAGACCAAGTTCAAAACATTCCAGCTATTTAATGGAACTTCCATCATCATTGTTTCTAAAGACTGATTTCAGTGACATTTTCAAATGTCACCGAAAATCGCTACAAACGTCGCGAAAATTTTTTCAGACTTTTATAGGCTCGACGATTGCGCAAATGTCGCGAGAAAGTTTCCACGATGTTTGTAGTGGTTTTGACGACGTTTGTCTAACATCACCAAAACCCATATTTTTTGTAGTATGTACACTTTATAAAATGTGAAAAAGTGAAGATTTAACGTGATTGATTAATATCAAGATATAACGTGTTGCAAATATTCATTTTTGCACCATAGCAAGTCTAGTCTAAGATTTGTATATAGCAAATCAAGTTCCTAATTTCATTATGGATAGTAAAAATAAGCCAATTTCTTCTTGCTCTTAAAGTAAAGGACAAGGAGCTTTCTTGTCTCCTAAGAAAAATCAATGCATAAAGCCCTTATCTTGGTTTCAAAATATGCTTTTCACTGAGGTAGAGAATGCGATATTTCTACCCCTCCAATGGACAAAAATTCTACACCTACGAGAAAAATATATAATATTTTCAAGAATTTTTATTTTCGAAAACTTTGCTTTCAATCTTCAAAAGCAATAATGGGAGTCACATAACAGACCACTTTAACGCTTCTCTAGGCATGGTTGAAAGATTTGTTCACACATACAATTAATACAATCAATGACATTTCTGGTTCAGGAGCAAACTTCTAAATTATAAAATTTTGAAGTTTGAAGTAATTAAGCAGTAAGAAGTAGAAGAGATTGACTCAATTTTAGTTATATAGATTTGTACATTATAGAGTTGACAAAAAATAAACTCAATAGCATTCTTCCCCCTTTCTTTATAGCTTACCAACGAAGGGTGTGAATTGAATGTATAAAAAACTTTCCCCCTTTCTTTATAGCATTCTTCCTATTAACTTCAGAAAAGATTCTTCCGATTAGTGAATATATATATATATATATATATAAATTTATTTAACAATAATAAAATATATTAATAAATATTAACAAAAATAATGAAATTAATACAAATTTATAGGACAATACATGAATCCAAAAATAATGCGCGGAGTGGATTCAATTTGGCTTGGCCCAATTATAGATTTTCCTTTATTTAATATAAGAGGAAAAGCCCATGATTATTTTTTGCTTTAAACCTTCAAAAGATGCCGACTACTGTGAATCGAGTGGCCGGCAGCAGATTGCAGTAACTAATCACGAAGCGTAAACGATCTTGATCCCACCAATGATGACAAGGTCGCCTCCCAATCGTGGGACTATGGTAACTACCACCTCGTCGTCATCTTCCGTCTCCAAATCCTCCAGCAATTCCGTTATGCTCAACCTCAGGAACGTCTTCACCCTCTTCTTCTTCTTCTTCCCGTGCTTGTGTGGAACGTTCACAAAGCTCCCAGCGAATTCACTCTTGTCCGGGCTCGGCTCATCCTCGTTGTTAATGTAGACATCAAACTTCACCACGGAATCTCTCTCCAATTCTATCTTCTCTATCACTAGTATCTCCTCTTCATCCTCTTTTTCCTTCTTGCTTCTCGACTTCCTAGGCCTCTTGACCACTGTCTTGAACGCCGTATCTAGTTGTTTCGGGAACTCACTCACTGCAATCTTCTTCTCCAACTTCAGCACCCTCTCCTTGATCTTGTCTTTCAGACCTTCCTCCTCCTTCAGAGCTTCCTTCATTTTACGGACGGGCGTCGGTTTCGTCTTCAGCCATGGAATGTCCACGGACTGGTAGGTGTACCGGAGTTTCTTCTCGTCGAGGCAGTCTCGGACCTTCACCTTCACTAGCTCTGCGTTCTCATCATAGAACAGGAAAGCCGAGTCCAACCAGTCCGGATCGGTGAAGTCCCTTCTCTTCCCTCCTAGAGTCTTCCATATTGTCCACATACGATCCACATTGGCGTGGTGGGCGTAGAAGATGGGGTCTCGGGCGGCTGAATAGAAGTTGCCCATGTCCTCCACATTGGGCTGATTACGGTCGCCTGCCCACAAGTGAACCGGTCCATGTGGAACGTTCTCAAGCGACCCATTCCCAGGGTCTGGCTCGTCTCCGGCACGGTAGGGGGTTCCAAGGAAAAGCTGCGCCGTCGAGCCGTTAGACACCATTTGCCGGTACATGATGGCGAGATTGTGCTTCAGTTGTTCCTCATTCGTGATCGAGGGGTCTTTGAGATTGTAGTCCAGATCGATCAACGTCGGCGGTTGGTGCTTGGTGTCTCGAAGTTTATTGTAGAGAGATGAGCTGGGGTTGGTGTACATGGCCGGCAAAGTCATCCCCGCCGGAGCGTCCCAGTTCCAGAAGGGCAAGGCAAAGGTAGGATCGCCGATCAATTTGCCCAGTATCCTCTCGTAGAAGTAGAGATAGTATCGGTGGAATGGGAAAAAGAGCCATGAATTGTGTACTTGCAATTCCAAGTCTGGAAAGCCAACCTGATCGTAAGCTCCATCGCAATAGGCACAGTGAACATTGGCCTGTTGAGTGAAGTTACGTGGGTCATCGGTTGGGAGAGCTTTCATGCGGGCAATGGCGTCCTGGTACTTGGCGACGTACTCATCGTCCACTAAGTGAGCAGCTTGCCGGACGCGCATGTCTTCGTTTTGGGGTGGCAGCTTGAAGTCAACAACTTTCGAGCTGGTAGGTGGGCAGCAATTGGTGGGCTTCGCACTGGTAGGCAAATCAGCGGCACCGCACTTAGTTAAGTCAGGCGCCATGATCGGAGCCCCAAATGCCAATCGGTCAGCACCGAGGCCGGTGGCACCATACAAGCCTCCTAAGCTAATAAGCACATTCCTCCTATCCATCCTCCCGAGAGACCCTTCTCCATTGCCGGAACTAGACGCGTCACCCTGTGTTGGTTTCTGCTCTCCTCCTCTAGCTCCACATGATACCTTACCGACCATTCGCTGGCGTCGTTTGCCAACTGTAGAGACTTGAGGCCTCCTCTGGTTGAAAGGGCTCAGAGATGAAGATCCTTTAGAAGTGGTGGAGGTAATAATAATGGCGTGATTCAAGGGAGAAACAGAAGCCATCTTCCTGGGGGTTTGGAACTTAGACTACGAGTGGGCTTAGATAGATGAGTAGAGCTAGCTCCTTCTCTTTTTATAAGAACGACCGAGCCAGCCACATAGAAGTAAAGAAAAATCAAGATCAAAACAGAGAATAAATTTGAGCACAAAAATAGATTTATCATGCAAGTTTTCACCCAATCCTTATCCTGATCCAAGGTTCCAGCTAGCATTGCCAAATGGTATTGGTAATCTTGCCCATACTATCTTTTGAATCGCTGGTATTGCTATTAATAAGTCTTGTTTGTGTTCAAGTGAAACAATTAAAAGAACAATAATAGTATCGTTCATTTTGGCTGCATTTGGTTGCAGTGAAATTTTATTTGCACCAACTTAAATGCATGGGAGTGCAAATGAAAAAGAAGGTGGGCAAATTCTGATTTGATTTTGTTTTGGATTTTACTTTGTTCTGCTTTCAGATCTTATTTTACCACATTAATTTGTACTGTAATCAGGTAAAACTTGAAATAAATTGAGAAAGAAGATATTTGTCAGTGTGGAATTACGAGTCGTTCTTTGTTTATTGATATCTCACGGAAGCTGTAATTAACCTGTAAATTGGGAAACTTGGTGCTCCGATCCACAAGTATGAAGTAGCAAGCCAGACAATCTGTCATTAGTCCCATTCCCACCTTGCCATCCCATGACAGACTACACTACACATGAAGAGTTGCTGGTGCTGACCGCAACTCACACCCAATTGACCCGTTTTGATTGTTTGGCACGTAAATAAACGTTTTTTCGGTATTAAATTTGGGGTGCTCAAAATCTCCCAGTGCTCTGCTCGGTGATCTTCACTACTAGGAATGCAAGTAATAACCTCTTGATATCACATGTGCACACCTGGTATCTAGGACTCTTTAGTACTTTCTTGAGGAATTCATTTTTCATGATAATATTGTATGATGAGCACTTGAAATCAATGAATTTGCCTTATCAGGCTTATAAAAAACAAAAATAAAATAATGATTCCAAAGTAGTTGTGCAAGACAGCAGATCGGATTAGGGTCGGTTGAGGCCAACTCCTAATCCTAACTTTACCCAACACAAAAGCTATGGATTGGATTGGGATCAGGTTGGCCTTGTTTCTCTGTTTTAATGGTTGATTTTAATTCAATATTAACATTATTATATGTAAAAGAACATAATTAATTATCATGTTTTATGAAAGTTTGCCTTTTAAGTTTAAATTTTTGGCATATAATACACACGTAGATAGATAGATAGATTAACGTTTTAAAAAACGATCCAGAAACGGAACGTTCTGGGCACCGGTTTTTGGGTCAACGGTCTGACCGTTCGGTTCGAATGGACGGCTTGTTCTGATAGTAAAATTAAAAAATAATTAAAAAATGAAAAAACGGTTAAAAACCATTGAACAGGTCGACAGGTCGACGGTTCAACCACCCGAGTCAATAGTTTGTTGACTTTCTCAATGGTTTTTTATCAGATTTCGGGTTTTAGGTAAAACGGAACCGGTTGCCTGGACGATTCCCGGGCCGAATGGTCCGACCATCCAGGTCAACAACGGTTCGAAAACGTTGATATAAATAGATAGATAAAGTAATAAACAAATGGATGAACGCCTCAATTGCCAATTCCATTCTTTTTTGAGAATCAATTCATTTTAACATGAACAATTGATTTTTCATTAAAAAATCTGTCTATTGCTTTATAAGGTTAAACTGAATCGGAACAATGAAGGCCTCAACCCGAAGTTAAATCAAATGAGTTCATACTTTTCAACCTTAACTCTAAAACTAAACTTTGACCCTACCTTATTGGATTCGGTTCCTAGGAATGGCAACGGGGCGGGCATTATATTCTCCATCCCTGACCCCAATTCTGAAATTAATCCCATCCTTGTCCCCGATTCCTGTTTGGGATAAAATTTGTCATTCATCCCCAATCCGCAATGGGGATGGGTTCCTTGTGAGAACCTGAATCTCCGAAATATTTTCAGATAATAATATTTTTTAAATAAATTTACTTAAAATAAATAAAAATTTTAAATTATAAATAATATTTTAAATAAGTTTTGTTATATATAAATATAATATAAATAATATAATAATATATTTTATATAAATAACATTTAATATATATACATATATATAATCAAAGTCGGGGCAGAGACCTCAATCCCCATCCCCGACCCCGATTCCGACCGGATATTCCTATTAATCCCCATCTCCGCCCTACCAAAACAATCCCCATCCTCGACCCCCTCTGTTCCCCATCATCCCCACTAACCCGCCAAGCAAGTTGCATCCAATGCTTAAAATATCAAATGTATCAATGCAATGCATGTGACATTTCAAATTAAAATATGAAATGATATATGTGACATTTTAAATAATTAAATATGATATGACATGTCAAAACGAAAAAGTTCGGTTAATGCTCTAATATGTCATATGTCAAAATTTTGGTATGGAGAGCATCCATACTTGGACTTGGTGAAGCTTGTTAGCCGAAAAAGGGGGAAATTGCCTTGGCGGGGATGGGGAGGAAACAGAGATAGAAAATAATGATATATACCCAATTGGGGACGGGAACAAGGATGGAGAGTGTAGTCTCCAGTCTCCACCTTACCCCAATCTTGATTATATATATCAAAATATTATTTATATTTTAAGTTTTGTTAAAGTAAAATTTGGTGGTTTTGTTGTGGCCTCTACAATCAATGGTGATTAACAGATGCATTTTATATGTATAATAAATATATATAAATATTAAAATATTTATCAAACTCAAATTTTAATTGAATTGAATGGAATTAAATCCACATCTAATCCAATTATTAATCAAATACAATTTCTAATTGATATCCGAATTCGAAATAATTAAATTCGGAGTCGAATCAGGGATCAGACTTTCGGAGTCCTTTAACAACCCTAACTACATCACCATGTGATTATAGAAAGATATTATTTAACTATTATAAAACGTCTCTGTTTGTAAAAAATGGATTATGTTATGGACGGTCAATTGGTAATGATGAAATAGTTTTTCTTTTTTTTTTTCCCCTCATATATATTCTGCATGATGGAAAAAAGGTGGCTCCTGGCTTGCGGCTTGGCCGCTGAAGGAGCTAAAAGATCAGAAGGTGTTTATTTTTTCTCTTGTTTGGTTGTTGTATTTTGTTATTATTTTTTCAGATGCAATATCCTTTTTAACGGAAACAAGAAAACAAATACTCCATACTGTTTTGTTTTTCATTGTTTGGTAGAATGACACCATCTTCCTTTATTTAAAAGAATAATATTGAGATTCATACCATTATTTCATGTCTCAAAAGCTTTAAAGATGGTTTACCACATAGGGACAAATGTTAGGGGAGAATGACAGTTGAGCCCAGGGTTAAAATTTGTAGGTTCAAAATATTATTAGGGTAGGTGTCAACTCAGAATTGATATCAATTTATGGGCGGGTGTTGGTGTATAAAGTATGAGTTATTAACCTTTTGAATATTTATAAATTTACAGTAGAAATCAAAAATATGTATTAAACAAATCCCTACTTGTCCGTAAATGTTAGTAAGCCTAGGAAACCGCCACTAACCCACCAAACACTAACAACTTATTTGATACCGCATCTGTGTTGGAGCACCTCGCACCTATAAATCCCGGAGAAATCACTACCTAGAGTAGTTTTTGGCATAGAGAATAAGGTGGCACGCTTTTTGATTTTCATTGAACATAGCTTTTAGTGGGGCCCAGTTCAATACTTAAGAAATGTGTGACCCAAAAGCCCTTTCAAACCGATTTATATTTTCTATCCACGAGAACCATACCTACACCTATTCACGCCTTACTATAGTAGTATATTGAGAATATTACTCGTATTTGCATGTTACCATTTATTATAGCAAAGGAAATAAAAAAGTTGCTCCTTTAAAAAAAGGGGAAATAAAAATCTCTTTAAGGCCTATGCCTTTATATTAAAAAAAAAAAGAACTTTAAAATGATATTGGATGATGTGGCTTTAATCATGGGTTTAAAAGGCTATTGAGGCAAGGCCAAAGAACTAAACCTCAAGGCGTGGCTGACCAAAAAGGCCGGGCCTCAGTAGCCTTTCTCTCCATTGCCAAGGCTTAGGCCTTGAATTGTTAGAGGCCTACACCTTTAAGCCTTTACCCATTTGATGTACAAAGCCTTGAATTGTTTGAAAATATTGTTAATGAGAGTTACTATTAAATTATATATATATATATATATATATATGGAAAATTTACCTTTATGGTTTAGCTAACTGACTAACTCTATCCTTATTATTTACATATTGTCTTAAAGTACCCCTACTACTTCTGATAATTAACATCATCGTTAAATGTTAATGGAATAAACAAAAAGTCAAATTTGCCTTCTATTATTTTTCAAATTTTTTAAAATAAAACCCAACTGATGAATATGTTACGAAATTGGTCTTCAAGGTGGGCCATGGCACTGGATTGCACCGTTGACCTTGGCACCTTGCTAGGTTCAGCAGATACACAAACAGACTCCACTAGAAAATTGGATCTCATCGACATCCCCGTAGATATTGGTTAGCTTCTTCCCATACAATAGTTGGTACCGCTCCAGATTCTACAATAACGATCTTGTTCCTAGAATAAGTAGAAATTAAAGCAAAAAAAAAAGGTTTCAAAGAATAAGCAAGGAAGGCCATGAATGGATTGGTGAATAATTCAACTGAATGTGAAAGAAATAAAATATACGTATTGACTACAAAGTGGTGAGATTGAGTAAATCAAAAAGAGCAACTTCGATGGCCTTGTAATCTTGTTTAGAACGATGCATGAAGACAAGATATGTTGCTAGTCGAATCTGAGTTTCTTTCCCTCCGTTGAAAGGGACCTAATAGAATTTGGTCCCTTAAAACATGGAATCACAACCAGATCAAATTGTGACTTTACAAAGTCAAAAAAATCTCTTCAGACATAATCCACAAGACAAATGAAA